AAGCGCTTGCTGCAGAGGGTCAAGGACTGCAGCCTCCAGTATGGATGGAAGCTCAGCATCAAGGATTCTCATCACTGGGCTGATCGGCACCATCATTATCAATGATGAAGAGATTGAGGTTGTTGACAGCTTCAGTTTGCTTGGTCTACAATCAACACCAGCAGCAGCCAGAAAATTAAAAGATGAATTACATTGGAAATGTCTGCTGTCAGAGACCTCTCCAAGGTACTGAGGAGCAACAATGTCAGTCTGAAGACTAAGGTGCACCTGATACAGACCATGGTCTTTGTAATTACTTGCTGTGCATCAGACAGCTGGGCATTGACTAGGGAGGATAGGAGAGTTGATGCCTTTGAGCTGCGGAGCTGGAGAAGAGTATTGAATATACCATGGACTGCTAGGAGAACAAACAAATTCGTCCTGGAGAGTGTGAAGCCAGACTGCTCCTTGGAGGCAAGGATTCTGAGGCTTCGTCTGACGTACTTTGGACATTTTGCAAGGAGGGACCAGTCCTTGGATAGGGACGTCATTCTTGGGCGGGTGGAGGGACAGCACAGGAGAGGAAGACCCTCTATGATGTGGATTGATTCCATCACTGGGGTAACGGGGGTAGGTGTGTCAGAGACACTAAGATTGGCAAGGGTTAGAGCAGGCTATAGGGCTGTTGTACATAGGGTTGCTATGAGTTGCAAGTGACTCTGCAGCACATAACAACAACAGTATTCGATTACACTTTGAACACGTATTTGTAGCAGATTTTGGTTCTGCCACAGTTTTGGGAAGCTGGTGTTCTTTGCACCCCAGAAGGGGTGTGTGCATGTGTTAGAGAGAAAGATAGAGATAGATAAAGAGAATGTGTGTATGTGTGTGTGTGTGTGTGTGTGTGTGTGTGTGAGAGAGAGAGAGAGAGAGAAGTGTGTGTGAGTGAAAGAGAATATGTGTGAGAGAACGTGGGTGTGTATGTGTATGTGTGAGAGAGAACGTGTGTGTAAGAGAGAATTTGTGTGTACAAGAGAGAACATGTATATGTATGTGTGAGGAGAGAGGGAGGGGGAGAGAGAGAGAGTGTGTGTGTGTGTGACTGAGAAAGGAGGAGAGAGGCAGGCAGACCACAGAAAGAAAGAAAAAGAGATTGATTGATGGACAGAGAGAGAAAGGAAGAGAGAGAGATGGACAAAGAGAGAAGGGAGGGAGAGAGAAGAGAGGAGCAACAGAGGTTGGGGAAGGAGAGGGAGAAATGGAGTGAGACCCAGGCTTGGAACCCCTGAGCTGTGGCCACACCTGCCTTTGTCACCCTGCTGTCAGGTAAAGTACAGGACCTAAGTTTGAATTTGAGAACATCTTCAGGAAAAGGTCCTGCTGCCCTGTTGATTCTGACTCCTGGTGACTCTCTATAGGTTTCCAAGACTTTCTTACCAGAGTATATGTGGGCATGTATGTGTGGTGTGTATATATATGTATATGTATGAGTATGAGGGGTATGTATATGAGCTATGTACGTGTCATGTGTGTACATGTGGGGTTTGTGTACAGATGGGGTGCATCTGCATCCTTCCCTGGTCTGTTCGTTATGGAATGTGACCCTGGAACATTACTGCTTTGTTTCCACTGGGGGTGGTGTCTACATGCGTGTACGTGTGTTGTGGTGTGTGTGTACGCATGGTGTCTGTGTGTGCAGAGGATGTGTGTGTATGCATGTGATGTGTATGCACATGTGTGAGTACACGTGGATGAGGTATGCATGGATGTGATGTGTATGTACACGTGTGTATATGGGGTGTGTGTATGTGTGTGTACATGTGTTATCTCTGTAGGGATGGAGTGTATATATGGGTGTGGAGTGTATGCATGTATCTGTGTATAGGTGTGTGTGTGACTGTACATGTGGGTGTCTGTATGGATAGGGGGTGTGTATGAGTGTGGTGTGTATATAGGTATGGTGTGTGTATGTGCACGTACATGTGGGTGTCTGTGTGTACAGATGAAGTGTGTGTACAGGTGTGGTGTGTATGCACATGTGTGTATATAGGTGTGTGTATGTGTGTATGGACGGAATGTGTGTGAGTGTGGTGTGCATGCACATGTGTGTATATAGGTGTGGTGTGTGTATTTCATGTACATATGGGTGTCTGTGTGTACACATGGGATGTATATACAGGTGTGGTGTGTATACACATGTGTGTATATATATATATATGGTGTGTGTGTTTGTGTGTCTTTGTGTAATAATGTGTGTGTATGGTTGTGGTGTGTATATGTGCATATACATGTGGTATCTTTATATGGATGTGTGTACGAGTGTGGTATGTATGCACATGTGTGTATATAGGTGTGATGTGTATATGTGGGTGTACATGTGGTGTCTGTGTGTACAGATGGGGTGTGTGTAGGGATGTGTTGTGTATGCACATGTGTGAGTATGTATGGTGCGTGTATGTGCGTGTACACGTGTCTGTACAGATGAGGTGTGTGTACAAGTGTGTGTATATGTGGGTGTACACGTGTCTATGTGTACAGATGAAGTGTGTGTATGGGTGTGTGTATGCACGTGTGTGTATGTATATATGGTGTGTGTGCATATACACGTGGTGTCTGTGTGTACAGATGAGGTGTGTGTAGGGGTGTGTCGTGTATGCATGTGTATGTATGTATGGTGTGTGTATGTGCATGTACATGTGATGTCGATGTGTGTGTACGAGTGTGGTGTGTATGCACATGTGTATATATAGGTATGGTGTGTGTATGTGCGTGTACACGTGGTGTCTGCGTGTACAGATGCGCTTTGTGTACGGGTGTGGTGTGTATGTACACATGTGTATATAGGTGCGCTGTGTGTTTGTGTGTGTACACGTGGTGTCTGTGTGTACGGATGGGAGGTATCTGCGCCCCCCCCCCCCCCCCCCCTGTGTGGCATAGTCTGTTTGGAACGGAATGTGACCCTGGAACATTGCTGCTTTGTTTTCCCCGGTTGTTTGTTTTGCTGTTTTCTTCCTAATTTGTGCGAGCTGTTCTCAGAGGGATTTTTAAGAGGATTTGCTACTGTTCTTTGGAACAGTGTGTTTGCCTCAGATACTGAGGGAAGGTTTAGTGTTTTGGTGTAAATTAAAAAAGGCGGAGAACTGCACCTTATTTTCCAGGTCTGGAGCTGAGGGCCGTGGTGGGGCTGTGTGTGTATTGATTCTTGGGAGTGTTAATAACCAGACCCTAAGGGGCACAAGCCCTAGGCCCTTTGCCATGGTGCTGGTTCTGGCTGCCATCGACCCCGTGTGTTACAGGGTGGAACTGCCCCACAGGGTTTTAGGGGCTGCCATCTTTTTTTTTTTTTAAGAAGCAAAGTTACACTAGTTACCTGTGGTGTTTTTTTTTTTAAATTTAAAAAAAAATAATTTTAATGAACATTTACAGAGAATTTGGATTTCCATTCATTCATTGCTGCACTTCTCTACCCGCCCAGCCCTCACCCCCCAGTTCGCTCCTCTCTTTCAAAAGTAAAAGAAAGACTCCCTCCCTGGTACACAATCCCCCTGCACCCCTCCCACCACCCCAAGTACATTCCACTATGCAACCTTAATTGTGTACTCTTGTGATAACCATAATACCCTATCATACATCGCTTTTAACTTATTCAGTCCCTCAGATTGCCAGCCTTTTCTTCTGTGGCACTGCGGGGTAGATTGAGACCGATTCCAGGCACTCCTTCAATAAATCCCAACAGTGCCCCTGACAAAAGACCCCTCCAAACCAATAAAACAAATCCACTCCAACCCACAGTGATACTCCAGGAGGGAGTCACCTGGTGTTATGTGAGAGGGAGCTCAGCCCCATTTAACCGGAGAACTGCCCCCTAGTGGCATGGAAGGTGGAGGGGAGGAACCTGGAGGGTCAATGGGAGCCACGGAGGGTGTTGGAGCCTGGGAGGGACCAGTTTCAGGATGAGGGCCTAGGGGGAATCAGGCGGGCTGGGGATCCTGGCCACCTCCCAGGTAATTAAGCCTTGACCACAAACCAGAGTCTGAAACTCTCTTTGCCCCGTTTCCACGCGGGCTCCTTTCACCTCATAGAAGATTTCCTGGATGTCTTCCCTGTGGCTGGGCTGTGGGGGTGGGAGTGGGGAGCTCCCTTTGCCCCCCTGCATCAGCTTCTCACTCAGTCTCCCCCCCAAAGCTCCCTAGTCTCCATGCGTCACATTGGCCTTTGAGGTTCTGAGCAGATACTGCTAAGGGCTGATCTCTCTGCCTTTTGAAATAACTGGCTAAGCTTTCAGGGCTTCTCTCTGAAAGAGCCGCAAGCCAAGGCCAAGTGCAGAATTAGAATACCAAGGCTCCTTAAGACGAGAAACACCCAGAACCCAGCTGCAGTCAGTGGGTGCTGACGAGGTGGGGTGGGTTGGAGAACCGTGCTCCAGGTGGGAGCTTCTGAAAAGACATCACCATCCTTCTAGCCAAGGAAGGCGACCTGGTAGTGGCTGCTAACCGAAAGGTTGATGGTTTGAACCCACCTAGCAGCTCCTGGGGGAAGGACCCAGAAGAATGCTTCTGTGACAATTTACAGCTTCAGAAGCCTTCGGGGGCAGCTACGAGTCAGGCTTGACAGTGAGTTTGGGTTTCTTTCAAGAAGTTTCTGGAGTGGCACCCTCACTCCAACTGCTCAGTGTGGATTGGGGGAGGGTCCCCTGTTTGTACCAGAGACCCCTAAGCCAGCCACCAGGCATTCTCCTCTGGTTCTGTATGTGGAACAGACCGTGCTTTGTAGGCTTCTCACTGGCTGGTTTTGTTTTTTTTTTTAAATGGGATTGCCAGGACTTTCTTACGTGCCTCAAGCCCTTAATCTTTAACTGCTGAGTGTGTTCACCCTGTCTGTCACCAGGGAAAGACCCAAGACAGAGCTTTAAACTAAGCTCAGGGCCCTTCTGAGCAGGGCCTGGGTCACAGCTGGCCTGGTCACTGATCCCTGTAGTCCTGGTGCGGTGCGTCCCCTCACCTGTCCCTTCTCCCTTCCAGTGTGCCCCAGCATGGACATCCGGAACAACCTCACCCGGCTCCACGAGCTGGAGAACTGCTCCGTCATCGAAGGCCACCTGCAGATCCTGCTCATGTTCAAGACGAGGCCCGAAGACTTCCGCGACCTCAGCTTCCCCAGGCTCACCATGATCACCGACTACCTGCTGCTCTTCCGCGTCTACGGGCTGGAGAGCCTCCGCGACCTGTTCCCCAACCTCACGGTCATCCGGGGCTCGCGCCTCTTCTTCAACTACGCGCTCGTGGTCTTCGAGATGGTGCACCTCAAGGACCTGGGCCTGCACAGCCTCATGAACATCACCCGGGGCGCCGTCCGTATCGAGAAGAACAATGAGCTGTGCTACCTGGCCACCATCGACTGGTCGCGCATCGTGGACTCGGTGGAGGACAACTACATCGTGCTCAACAAGGATGACAAGGAGGAGTGTGGGGACATCTGCCCGGGCACTGCCAAGGGCAAGACCAACTGCCCGGCCACGGTCATCAACGGGCAGTTTGTGGAGCGCTGCTGGACCCACAGCCACTGCCAGAAAGGTAAGTGGGGCTTGTGAGCCACGTCCCGCGCTTGCCCAGGACGGCTTGGTCTTTCGTGTGGCAACAACAGCCCGTGGATTTGAGCGGCTCGTGGTTGGCTCAGAAAGTAAATACTTTTCAAATTTCAGTTGATAATCAGCTGTTGGTGGGAGGGTCTTCATCCTCGCCATGTTTTTGAGACAACCGTAACTGGGGCCCGGACAGGACATTCCTTACTCCTTCGGTGCAGACAGCTTCGTTGATCCTGGTGTCACTGTGCACATCTGGCGTTCCCAGCTCCTGCCTGGCTGAGTTCCAGATTTCCTAGAGTGTCCAAGGGGCACTCTACAGATGTGCTGGTGAATGTTGATATGTCCTGTCCGTCTTTCATCGATGACAGAATCATCTTTCTCGGTGACGCCATAGTGCTGGGGCTAACTTGGAGAAAACAGAGAGTAAAGAAAATGGACTTTTTTTTTTTTTTGGTCAGGCAACTTCTTTACGAAAATGAACCAATAAAAACCCACGTGTCACAACAAAGTATCATTTGATACAAAGTTGAAAGATGAGCCTCATAGATTGGAAAGCACTTAAAATATCCAGCGCCCACAATAATGAACTTAAGCATACCTTCAATTGTTCTTTTACTATTATTATTGTTGTTAATAATTTTAACGAAAATTTACAGAGACTTTGGATTTCCATTCATTCATTGTTGCACTTTTCTAGACTTTTCAAAGCATCTCACCTCTCGCAGAACTCACCTCTGCCCTTGTGGCAGGGAAGTAGACACGTGTGCAAACAAACAGGCCCAACTGCATTTCAATAAAACTTTATTTAACAAAACCAAGTTGTGGCTCGGATGCTGCCTGTGGGTCATAATACTTTGCCAACCTGTGTGCTACACTAGTTGAATGTTTCCTTTACTCATGGACTGTTTCTTTAGGAGATGAGTAGGAACCCAAAATGATGGGATTTTTTAAAAATGTTTTAATTTTTTTAAAATGAATTATTTATATTTATTTTGAACAACAAACATCTTCTGTCATTTTAGAAGGTCAAATATGACAAGCAACCATTAATAAAATAATGTTTGGTCTTGAATTACATAGCTAAATATTTAACATTCAATCATCTCAGAAAGGTTATCAGCTATCATTTAATCAATGGAAACTTTTATGCATAATATAATCCCTCATTCTTCACAGGATAAAGCTGAATTACTAAAGGGAAAGAACACTTTAATAAGAGATGCCACCCGAAAGAAATGTGGTTTGCACTAGGAGAAAGATCAGTGGAACTGGAATAGTTTGCTACCTCTCCTTAGCTGAGTGAGATGGGATTTGAGAGTTGGACAATGACTAGGGAGGATAGAAGGAGAATTGACGCCTTTGAGCTGTGGTGCTGGAGAAGAGTATTGAATATACCATGGACTGCTAAGAAAACAAACAGATTCATCCTAGAGAAGGTTAAACCAGGCTGCTCCTTGGAGGCAAGGATTCTGGGGCTTCATCTGACATACTTTGGACATGTTGTAAGGAGAGACAGGTCTTTAGAGAGGGACATCATGCTGGGTAGAGTGGAGGGACAGCGCAGGAGGGGAAGACCCTCTATGAGGTGGATTGATTCAGTGACTGGGGTAATCGGGATGGGTTTGTCAGAGGCAATGAGATTGGCGCAGGATAGAGCAGGGTTTAGGGCTGTTGTACATGGGGTCGCTATGAGTCGTAAACGACTCGACGGCACATAACAACAACAACAACAAACAACAAAAAAACACAACAGCAACATTGAAACACGCTTTGTGAGATTGGAGAAGTGAAATTGCTCATGACTGACCTACTGAGAAAGAAATGTGCAAATAGAAGAAACACATCGTAAATGATTCCAGTTTGCTGGAGGGACTTCCTGACTGGGACTGCTGGGTAGAATGGCTGTGGCTTCCTCTGCCTCATTATCCCTCTTGTTCGGTGTCTAGATTGTTCGCACTTTCAATAGGGAGAAGGATGCGTATTTTAGGGCCTGGACTTTTCCTAGCGTTTCTTTCTTTAGATCTGCTCTCCCATAATGACATTTCTGGGCCAAAGGCCCTTGCTTCTAATGGCCAGTGACTGTTGGGAAGTGTCGTGCCAGGGGCTGATTCTCCTTGTTGTTGGAGGGGACATGCAGTGGTCAGCAGCTCCGAGACACTTTCATAATTGGTGAGGGTCGGGGCTGCCACTGTGTTTTTGTCATTTGTTTCCATTTCTTTGGTTCTGGTGGAAGTTGAACCTCTGAGGTGTGGATCTGTATTTGGCATCTGAGTTTTCTCTCTCTCTTTTTTATTTAATTCTTCCTTGTCTATTTATTTTTCGGTTCCACAGTCATTTTGAAATGTTAACCTGTGAGAAGCATTTGTTGATGTAGATCTGGTTAGCATGGGCTATCAGAGGCTTTTCTGTGTGATGTCAGGTCCTCCGGGGCCTTTTGCCAGAAAAGCTGAAAATGTTCTCCAGTTCTGAGCCGAGCTTCCACATGCACCTTCTGTTAGTCTACAGGCCCCTGGCTTGAACCCACTTGGCTGTACTGCGGAAGAAAGGCCTGGTGTTTGCCTTTGTAGAGCTCAGGGCCATACAGACCCTAAGGGGTGATTTTCCTCTGTCACATGTGGGATTGTCAGGAGCCAGGACTAACCCGACACCAACATGCTTGGTTGGTGTTTTTCTGTTCTCTCTTCTCTCTCCATAAAATATTTTCCTTGTTTTGTATTTTAATTTTAATTAAAAAAAATCTGTTGTGGACATTTGTGATGTTAGTGTGTAACACTAATGAATAATTGGAAAAGGGGTGCTTACTTCCCCCTAAATAGCTAATGGGGTTTCAGCACTGTGTATAGCACTGTGTATTCCCTCATCAGTGACCTGGGGTCTGTTTCAGGGCACCCACTGATAATGTCTTTTTTTGCTTGCACCTGTGTCGTACTGTTCTAAGCATCGTAGCTTTGCAATGTGTTTTTTTAAAATATTTTATTACTTTTAATGACAGTTTACAGAGACTTAGGGTTTCCAGTCATTCATTGTTGCACTTTTCTTCCTGCCCACCCACTCCCCCCAATTCACTCTTCTCCTTGAAAAGAAAAACTCTTTTATTGTTATGCAATCCCTCCTGCCAGTCCACTCCACTATGCAGCCTTCACTCTGGAGTCCTGTCATGACAATAATACCTGTTCATATGTCCCTTTTAAACAGTTCTCTCCCTCATCTGTTTCAATGCAATATACATCATGCCTCCCCTCCTTTTCTGTCTTCCCGCAACCCCGATGTCAGTCCTGTTTTACAATAGTGGCCCTATGCAATATTTGTCCTTTTGTGACTGAGATATTTCACTCAGCATAATGTCCTCCAGGGTCACCCATTTTGTATAATATTTCATGAGTTCTTTGTTTGTCAATGCAGCATAGTATTCCATCTTAGTCTTTAAATAGACATATTGTTGCACTTTGGAGA